GAGGGGGACTGATAAAGTCATATCACAGGGATCCACTGAACCTGCGGTCAGGATGTTAAGAGGAAGAGAAACAAAACTCAACCAAGAAGAAAGAACACGCAGAGAGGATGCAGGATCTGAGAATGTCTCGAGTTGGAACTGTTGGGTTCGGGGTGCAAATAATGGGGAAACAGACCACCATAGTTTGAAACAGAAGCAAACTTTATTCACCCCCCCACACCAAAAAAAAAAATTACTATAGGGCACAAAAAGTTAACTGGGACCACAGACAGAGATGGGGCTTCTGACACTGGCTGTGGGGCTGGTTTGGGGCCTCTTATAGTAAAATAAAGTGTCAGGTGTGGGTGAAAAAGAGCTTTTACAGCCTTGAGGTCAGGCTTACAGTCACATTACATTTTAAGTGTTACAGCTTTTGGTTATAGGATGTTAGGATATTAATTTAGGATGTTTTCGAAAGCCTGTGGCTGACACAGCCACTTTCACTGTTCCTGAAAGAATGCAAGGCAGAGAGCAGAGTCACATAGGACAGTTAAAATTAAGGGAATAAAACACAGAGGGTCCCATAGAGGCAATAGTTAGAAGCTAACCTTTGTCTGCCGTACCTGCCTAGCTGGGAAGGTGGGAGGCAGGAGACAATTGTTAAAAGTTTACCTCTGTGCACAGTGGCTGCCAGGATGTCTGCTCTTAAGGCAGAAAGCAGTTGTTAAAGGCTAACAGTGGCTGCCAGCTTTATTTATTTTTTTCAAAAATGTGTTTGGGTTTAGAATTGTGTGTTTCTATATTCCTGGACCTTTCAGAACCATCTAAGTTTACAGCACTTACCAACCCTCCTCAATCTGGGGCAATAAACACATTTGCTGCTGGAAACAGCATACTAGATTTTTCTAGTTTTTAATGACAGTGTTTCTAGAGAGAATGTATGTCAGCTTGCAAGTGAGCATTTATTCATGCATTTTTTGTATCAGTCTTCACAACATCACAGTACTGTTAAAGAAGAAGGCAAAGCAAAGGCTACGGCAGAAGCTGCCACAGTGAGTTTTATTATGAGAGGGCCTGAAGGCCATGATCAGCCTGGAGGTGGGAGCGGGAGCATCAAGGGGAAGAGGGAGTTTGCTTTTAAAGTTCAGAACAGAGATTGGGTGATAGTGAAATAAGAGGGCGGAGGGGTTAGCAGGGGAGGGGACATCAGGAGAGGGATGGTGGGGAGAGGCCAGGCAGCCTCTTCAGAGAGCACCATTCATTCGCCTCTGGACAAAATCCCCATGAGCAGTCTTAGTCTGATCCCCAGAACAAAGGAAAAGTCTGACTTTTTGTAAACTTTTGAAGGTGGTGGAAAGTTTTGTATGACATGATTTAGTTCAGCATTGCGCATGTGACAAAGCACAGAGGAGCCTGGTATTGAGAATCTGAATGCATCATAATTCTGTTCCAGAGGGAGCTGCAAAGAGGCAAAGCCTGATTCAGGCTTTGGTATCAGGCCTAAAGGTGCAGATTTGTGGGTTGTTTTTTGTTTTGTTTGTTTGTTTTTGGTTTTGGTTTTTCGAGACAGGGTTTCTCTGTGAAGCTTTGGAGCCTATCCTGGCACTCGCTCTGGGGACAAGGCTGGCCTCCAACTCACAGAGATCCGCTTGCCTCTGCCTCTCAAATGCTGGGATTAAAGGCATGCGCCACCAATGCCCGGCTCAGGTTTGTGTTTTAACACTAAGAAAATCTCCATTTCACAGAACTTGGGAACAAGGAAAAGTATATGCAGGGCTGTATGTCTGTGAGGGGATCAGGTTTTTTGATCAGGACCTGTCTCTGAAGCCTGTGATCTTTGGTTGCTGTTCTTGTTTGTTGTTTTAATCTTTTGGGATAGGATCACCATCCTCCTGCCTCAGTCTCCGAGTGCTGAGATCACAGGTGTATACCGTCTCACCTCACTGACTTGCAATTTTTTTTATGTAAATTAAAAACAATCTTATTTTACATACTGATCCCAGTTCCCTCTCCCTCCTGTCTTCCCATTTCCCCCACCAACCCCCCATCCCAGCCCCCATCCACTCCCTTGGGAGAGTGAGGCCGGTGGGGGATCATCAAAGGCTGTTATGTCATATCATTTGGGGCAGGGTCTAGGGGCCATCTTGTTCTTTATCGATGGACTTTAATGATTTTTCTGCCACATGGACCTCTTCCAGGACTAGAACTACACTTTCTACCATGTGTCCCTTTTGAGAAATTTTCCCTTTTGGTTGGCATATTTTGGTTTTCAGTTGTGTATAGCTATGTTTGTAACCATTTCCTTCCAGATGTGTCTCTTCTGTAGTCCTTTCCCAGTTGTGATAGGAAAGAGACTCCCAGTTTGGTTTCAGCTTAGTGTTCCTGGAAATGCGCTAGCTGGCTTTGCGATGATCTCACTTAATAGGTTGTCCAAAGGGTATTGTATTGTTTTTCCATCTCGGTGAAATGGTTGGGCCTGAGAAAATTCAGAAGAGTAACATGTGCAGTGTGTAATGCTTTTTAACCATCTCCACATCTGGCCATTTTCACATCTGGGTATTCAGAGGAAACCACACATGCCATGTAAACAAATGAGGCTCTTCTCAGCTGGCACAACTATGCCATCAAGCTATTTTCGAGCCAGAGGGATACTCAAAGGCTGTGCTGGTTAGTCTTATGTCAACTCAACACAAGCTAGAGTTACCTGAAAGGAGGGAACCTCATTAGAGACGATGCTTCCATAAGATCCAGCTGTAATACATTTTCTTAATTGGGGATTAACAGGGGACAGCCCAGCCCATTATGGGTGGTGCCACCCCTGGGCTAGTGGTTTCTCTAAGAAAGCAGGCTGAGCAAGCCATGGGTAGTAAGCCAGTAAATAGCAATCCTCCATGGCCTTTGCATCAGCTCCTGCCTCCAGGTTCCTGCCCTGATTTCCTTAATAAACCCTTTCTTCCCCAACTTGCTTATTTGTAATACAAATAATAAAAACCCAGAGACAGATACTGGGGTTCAAGCTGAAAGATCAGAGAAGCAAAGCAGCCAGTCAATCACTCTTACCTCTACCAAGGCTGAAATGAAGATCCTGTCTTCCCTGTGACTAGAAACTAAATCTCAGAATACAGCCTGAGACCCTGGGTTCCTGTCTTTTATATAGTGCAGGCATTAAAGGCACGAGCTCTGTTTCTCTTTTAGACTGATTCACTCTTTGGTAGCCCAGAGTGGCCTTGAACTCATAGAGATCTATCTGCCTCTGTCTCCTGAGTCTTGGGATTAAAGGTGTGAGCCACCACTGCCCAGTTTCTATGACTGTGGCTATCTTTGCATTCTTATCCCTCAGGCAAGCTTTATTAAATCATAAATAATATATCACCATAGTTTTTTGGTCATGGTGCTTCATTACAGCAATAGAAACCCTAAGACAAAGGGTCTGTCCAAAAGTTTATGAACACAGACACAAAGGCAGTCTGTGAAGGGTTTGGAAATCTGCTTGAATGCTGTGGTAAGGTTAAAACCTTTAATACTGAACACACCCGGCTTTGTGTTCTGACTCTGTCACATAGGATCTTCATGTGCTGAGGACAATAGGGCTTTCTTCTGGGATTGTTGTATTAATTAGGTAAGTCTAGTGTGTTCTTCACAGTTAGATAGCATTCCCATGTTTACATATTATCAATTTTCTTTCTTAGTATGCTAATTATATACTGTTCTTAAGCTTTCATTTCTAATGATAATTAATTTCATTCTAATGATATTTCATTTCTAATGATAGTTAAACTGATGTCATCCCATTGTTCTCTTCCCATAAGGCTAAAAATCAGATAAGAGCTGGCCGAGGTGGACCTGGGAAGTAAGATGGTACCAGTAGTTGAAGGTTTCTGAAGACCACAGAGTGGAAGGCGGTTTTATCATGTCATTTCCTTGAGTATTACAGCTTGCTTCCTGAAAGGGCATTTGGGAAAGAGGCCCCAGAAGAGGGCCCCAAGATGATCCTAGATCATTTCATGATATGAGGACAGCATCCACTCATGATACACTCATATTCTTTTTATTTTTCAATAGTCTTGAGTACAATTTGTTCATCACCAGTGACAATTTCTCCCATCTTATTCAAGGAAGCATTTACCAAATACTTGAAACGCTTTCACTGCTGAGAAATATCACTGTTGCCTGATGGGTAGCAGCAGGGTGTGCTGCTAAGCATCCCACAGTGCACAGGGCAAGCCCTCAGGAGAGTTATGAGACAGCTGTTGTGATGGTGCACCCCTGCAATCCTAGCACCCTGGAGGCTGAGCTAGCAGGAGCTCAAGCTTGAGGCTATGCCGGGCTGCACAGCCAGTTCCAGGCCATCCTGAGTTCCATAACAATCCACTTCTTAATTTTCTTTTCAGTGCTGTAGAAGCTGAGAAACTTTGTTTGAGTGGGTAGAAATGATGACCTTCATTTTACAGTCCAGGAGCCAGGAGCTCTCAGAAGCTCCCTGATACTCAAACTCCGTCTTGTAGCTTGGAAACCTAGGGTCTTTCACAAAGCCATAGTGGTGAGAACAGGGGTGTGCAAAAAATGATGGGGGTTATGAACCAGGGCACTACTGATATTTAGTAGGTATTTACTGAGATCTTTGTTGAATGAACAGAGGAGTGAGTAGAGGGAGGTGTGAAGGCTCAATTTCTGGAGGAGTCCAGACTCCAGAGACTGGGCCTCCAAAAGGAAGTGTCAGAAGAGTCTTGTCTACCGTCCTTCATCACCTTCCTTGAGGAACACAAAGACTGAGGCAAATGATCTGTGGGCTGAGTCTGGGTGGCCATCTCCCTGTCTGAGGCCCAGGTAGGGATGGCTCCAGCAAAACAAGAGGGAGCTGATTCTCAGTTTCTAAAGTTTTTATGACTTGAGCTGAAGCACGTTGATTCTGGTCAGTCCTGAGTCTTCTAATAGGGAACAGATGAAAGGAGATTGGGTGGAAGGGGAGGAGCCAATGATTAAACAGACCGTTTCTTTTCACTTCCGCTTTTGGACTCCAGAATTGATTCTCTGGGTACAGTCTGCCAAGGCTGGAGAGAAGCCTGTGCCTGCAGCTGACTGGCTCCAGGAACGATGCGAATCCCACCATTCCTACCTCTCCCCATGGAGAGCAACTGGGCTGCCTATTCACTCTCACAGACTTTGTGCCAGATGCTACTGTGGACAGCTGTGTTAAGTAAGTCAGAACCTCCAGAAGGGAAGCAGGGGCAAGGACAGACACCTGGGTTGGGGTTGGACTTGTGCAGGGATGGACATAGCACAGGAAACATGTCAGCAAAATCAAGAGTGGGTAGCAGGCTAATAACCAGGCTGTGACAACCTGGCTGGCCTTTGAAAAACCAAAGCTGGCAGGAGTTTTGTTGTTGCTTGTTTTCCTGTCATTTGGTACCCGGGTCTCTGATGCACAACCACTCTCCTCATCAGAACCTACTGTCACTCGGCACCCAGGTCTCTGCTGCACTACCACCCTCCCCATCAGAACCTTCTCTGAGGGAAATCAAGTGCCCTAGACTTGAGTGACAAATAAGGCGACCAGTTTCCCTTTGAATTTGTGGTTCACACAGAACCAAATCTTGGGCAAGCTGTCTACTGCTGCTTTAGACAGAGTTGGGAGGGAACTCTAAGATGCATGTGAGGGGGTCGCAGTGGATACTCTCTGTGCCCATGAAGCCACCCTACCCAGCAGAAGTGATCCCCCCCCTAATATATAAAGAGAGGCATAGGAACATCTGGGCTATTCTGGGAATTTGGGTTCAGAGTATCTTTCATGAACCTGGGCAAGTCTGGAGTTGTCAGTTGTGGGGCAAGAGAAAAATCTCTCCAGCCTCTTCACTGTATAGACCATGGGAGGTGGTCTTGACTCGCATAGTAAGAAAGTCAGGGTTGGGGTTTTAGGCTGAGGCGGAGAAGATTTTTCTGGTCCTGGTCTCACCTGTGGGTCAGAGGATAGAAAGTGATGGTGCTGGGTGATTAGAAGAGTCTGGGTGAGTCCTGTTGCAGGATCATCTTCTAAGCTCAGTTCTGGGGTTTCTACCCATACCGCTGAGAGGAATGCACATAGCCATGTCACCCCCTTGTCCCAGATTGCATGCTATGACTTATAGTGAAATCTGGTCGGTCCTGGGGGACCACAGATGTCAGTGCTGGGTGGGAAGTGGCTACCAGGGAGAGCAGTATGAAAGAGAAAGAGAGACTATTTTCCCACAAGTAGGTATATTAAAATGACACCGGATAGCTCGGTTTCTATATGGGAAGGCTCAGTCCTAGAGAGGCAATTGTTGCAGAGCCATCAATCACCTGGTGAAGACGTCCAAGAATGGCACTTTCTTCCATTTTCTTTTGCTAAATCCCTATTTTTTCCCCATTGTTTTCTGGGCCTCCACACTTAGGACTTCATCACTTGATTCAATATTATAACACCCTGTGACTGTATCTTGGTTGCTCCTGACTTTGGTCCTGTGTAGCTGTGGAATCTTCCAGGAGAGCTGTGGGAAGGCATAGTGCTTTCTAAGTGTCTTCAATGCTGGCCCATTGTCTCCTGGTAAAGCTCCAGTAGTGTCCTGCTCTTCATACTCCTGTTTCAGCTACAATGGATTTCCTCAGCCAGGCAGTGTGACACTACACTTGGCTCTTACTTCAGTTGACTCTTTAAGTTCTTTGTGTCAGACACTGTTCTGGATTTGGGGTGAACAGTCAGTGAACAGGCAGTTTTCCTGACCTAAAGTACAAGGTGTTTGTCTTCCTTCTAATGAATACATTGGACAAGAACATAGTTTTAATTTCTGTTGGATATAGAATGAATGTACAAATGACAGCTTCTCCCTTCCACATCCCCATTTGTTTTTGTTTTTTTTCTCCTTTTCATGCATTGTGCTAACCCCCTTGCTAATCCCACATACTCAGGGTTTTTAGCTATTACTTCTATGTCGATAGCTCCCAAACTTATTTGTCCTTCCTTTCTCTGTGTACTTTAGCTTAGAAACAAAATTATATTCAAAATTCAACATAGCATCATTTCCTTATATTTTTCTCATTTTTCTATTTGCATGAGCAAAGCCACCTTGCCCCTGGTCATCCATATTTACCAACTTCATGCTTCATTAAACGCCAATTTTTCTCAGTCTTGCCCCTTAAGTCTCTCTCATATGTGTGGCTTCTTTACTTCCTATTGTTAATGCAGATGAGCAAGCAAAGTCATGGGGGAATATCGATGCATTTGATAAAGTCAAAAAGGGTAAATAAGTTCAGGGGATCCACTCATGCATGGTATTTGGAAAGTAGAGGCAGGAAGGGCTGGAGTTCAAGGCCAGTATAGGGTACCTCACAAGTTTGAGGCCAGCCTGGACTACATGAGACCTTGTCTCAACAACAGCAACAAAAAGATAAAGGGATTTGCCACGAGGTGATAATGATGACTCATGGACTCTAAACTAGGCGTGTGTGTGTGTGTGTGTGTGTGTGTGTGTGTGTGTGTGTGTGTGTGAGAGGTAGGTAGACAGTGGTGAGATAAAAGTTGTGGTCAGGTGACTATAGAGGCTTACTTGGACAAATGGGGAAAAAAAGGAGGAGGATTATTGTTGTGACGGAAGCCTGGGACATTTGATTTTGTGGTTTTGAAGGTGGTGTGATTTGGAGTGATGATCACAAGGCCTTGAGGTATAACATGGCCTGTGTGGCTAATCTATACGAGAGAGCGTTCACTACAGATGAGAGAGTCAAGGGATGAAGAAGCCAGATGTTGCACAGCCATTAACATTCTTTCTAGATCACCATCTTTTTCTTGCTAATCTCTGGTACTTCCTCTGTCCCAATTAGCCTGACACAGCATTTCCAGCCCCGATATGAACTTCTCGTTGTTTACTGAACTAAACAGCAAACTTTGAAAATTTGCTCACGATCATTTAAAAATTACTCACATGGTACCCTTGGCACCACACAGATGCCGTGTCTGGATTATCCTTAATCCTAACAACAGGTTTATGACATGGGTATTGCTGTCACCATTTTCATTTGTAAGGGGATCAAAGCAGAGAAAAGTAAAATTATCTGTGCAAGATCATCGTACATCAGTTGTATTTAATTATTTTCTCGTTACTTCGACAAAACACCAGGCAAAAGTGACTCAAGGAAGGGTTTATTTCGGCATATAACTTGAGGACATTGTGTAGGAAGGCATGGTGACAGGAGCCTGGGCTGGTCACCTCACACCCACAGTCAGGAAGCAGAGAGAGATGTGTACTAGTACACATCTTGCTTCCTCCTCTTGTTTATTCAGGCTGGGACCCAAGCCTATTGGATGGTCACACCCAGATTCAGGGTGAGTCTCATCACTTATGATAAACCTGATAAGGATCACAACCCGTACTCAAAACATGGTTATTGATGCTATATAATAAATGATAACGATGAAAACAACTCACACGTGTAGCCAATAACCAGATTAGCACTACGAGCAGCCCAGTCTCAGATGCACTCCCAGACCTGCCTTGGACCCCAAAAGAGAGAGAGTGCACCTCTCCTCCTCGATCTTTTTATCCTACCCCTCTATGTACCTGTGGCCACACCCAAACTGGTGCAGTCAGCAGTACAGGTGTCCAGGGTCTGTCCCTACATAAACCTTTCCAGAAATACCCGCCCCCTTTTTGACACAATGAATGATGTTTCCATGGTGATTCTAAATCTAGTCAAGTTGATAATGAAGACTAACCATCGCAGCGGTAAAGTCAATGTGTGAATTCTGTGTGTTCTGACTCACTGCCCTTTCATTTGACGGTGACAGTCCCCCAGAATATGGCAGCCACCTCTATTTTCAGCTTTGTTCCTCATTGTTGAGGGTGTTTCAAACAGACCAAAGCAGCAATCAGGCTGCAACTTGCTGAGCGTGTTGACAAATATCCATCCATCTTTCTTAGGGAATATTCCTTTTCTGTCTGTCACAATTATAGAATAATTGAGGCTGAATGACAAACACTTTCTCACTTTCCCTCCTAGACAGAATCTAGCCAAATACAAAGTCCTAGACTATCCTCCTCCTCTGAACTTCTATAACATTTGTCCATGTCCTTCTAAAGGCATTGAGAATGTCTCTTTTATAAGATGTTCGGGTGTAGCATTAGGGATACAGAACTGGGTAGATCACTGGGAGTACAAGGCCAGTCTGGGTTACATAATGTTTATCAGACTGTAGGCTCCTGTGGGGATCAGGGACTTATATCATTTCCTTTAGGTGCACTCAGGATGAACAGCGAGGAAGGAGGTAGTCAGAGCACTTTCCGGGATTACAAAGGGGTGGAGTGATTGGTTTAAGTGCACACACTGAGATGTGGTGGCATGGGGATCAGAATCCAGTTTCCTAGACGACCGGAGCAACACTCCCCCTGCGGCACTTGCTTTCACACCTTCATCCCTGAGGGTATTCAGACTTGGATGCCTCTTGCCTCTTTCAGCTCAAGTGCAAGTGAAAACTCCCACCATGGACGGGTGTATAAATGTGCATACACAGCACACACAGTGGGCTCTAGTTTATCTCAGGGCCGATTTCTGAGCCATTTCTGTCTCCATGGGTCATTCCATCTGCTCCCACGGGAAACCACAGGTTTAGCGTTCTTTTCTTTTAATTTAATTTTTGTGAATGAGTGTTTTGCTGCATATATGTCAGTGCACCACTCATGTGTCTGGGGCCCAGGGAGACCAGAAGAGGATGTCAGATCCCTTAGAACCAGAGTTAGAGATGACTGTGAACCACCATGTGGGTGCTGGGAATCAAACCCAGGCCCTCTGGGAAAACAGCAAGTGTTCTTAACTGCTGGGCCATCTCTCTAGCCCCATTGTGTCCTTCTGTGGTTTCTTCCTCCTATCAAATTTGCCTAGCAGCAAAAACTGGAAGATGTAAATATTAGCAATAGGGAAATAAAACACAGGAAAATTAAATTGTAGGGTAGCACATAAGTGTTAAAAATGACAACACTGAACAGACTAAGCTACTAGATCTTGTGTGGCACACACACACACACACACACACACACACACACACACACACACACTCATGGGGAAATTCTAAGGATACATATGCTAAGGTGGTAATAGTTTGCCATGAGTATTTTCTACTTTTCAATAATGATTATGGATTACCTATGTGATCTATATAGTCCCTCCCCACAAAAGAAAAACCCTACTCTCAGGATGGACATTGGCAAAGTCTGAAACACAAATCACATGTAAACTTCATCAGGGACTTTAACAGTCACAGTATTCAGCCTAATGAAAGTGTCACAACACAGATGTTACTGGGACAGAGCTTCATTTAGGTGAGGGCCTTGCCATGAAGGTTGGGCTATGGGAATGAAGGGGGCTCTGGGTCTGGGCAGGCATGTCTCAGTGGAAGTCCGGGCCCTGGTTGATATTTGCTTCCTTTCTTGCAGATCTTGTTGCTGGGACACATGGTAAGTTCTCTTTTCATACCTCCTCACCCTCGTATGTGTCTCACCGTCCTCTTCCCCCGGTGATCTGGCTGTGCTCAGAGTGTACCAGTACCAAGCTCAGGACCAGGAAAGGGCCATTGTTCCCAGAAGAAGTCCTGCCCTTCCCCTCCTTCCCTCTGTCTGGGGAGGCAGATGGTCAGAAAGCATGACTCCCTAGTATAGCAGCTCTTCTGGTTCTGTTACAGTGAAATGTGGGCCAATTGTCACCAACAATGAGAAATCTGTCCCTGTTCTCAACTGCCTTCCACTCTCAAAGTCAAATCGAGAGCTTCTAAAAAGTTGATCTGAAGGAAACAGAGAGTAAATGACCAGAGCCTGGGAATGGGAGAGGGAAGGATAGAGACAAAATGATTATGAGGAGTAAGTTCGAATGTGCTATAGAAAGAAAGCTGTCTTAGTTAGGGTTCCTGTGAAGAGACGACATAGCCATGGCAACTCTTATAAAGGAAAACATTTAATTGGGGCTGGCTTACAGTTCAGAGGTTTAGTCCATTATTGTCTCAGTGGGAAGGATGGTGTCATGCAGGCAGAGATGGTCCTGGAGAAGGAACTAAGAGTTCTATATCTGGAGTCACAGACAGCAGGAAGAGAGAGACACTGGGCCTACTTGAGGGTCTGAAACCTCAAAGCCCACTCCCAGTACACACTTCCTCCAATAAGGCCACACATACTCTAACAAGGCCACACCTCCTAATAGTGTCATTCCCTGTTGGCCTATGGGGCCATTTTCATTCAAACTACCACAAAGGATAATTATGGTTGACAATTTTGTATATTTCACAGTAGCTAATATAGATGTTTTGAACATTGTCAATGCAGACAATGTGGGAAGTGATAAACACCTAAAACACTCTGACCATTACACATTGTGTCCATGTACTGACTTATCATACTGTACCCTGTAAATACATAGTTATTATGTGTCAAAGACTTTTCAAATCCTTATTAGAAAACAAACAAACAAAACAAAACAAAACAAAAAAAAACCAGTTGTGTGTGGTGGTACATGCCTTTAATTCCAGCACTCTGGAGACAGAGGTGGATGAATCTCCGAGTTCTAGGCCATCCTGGTCTACAGAGCTAGTTCCAGGACAGCCAGAGCTACACAGAGAAACCCTATTGCAAACAAAACAAAACAAAACAAAACAAAACAAACCTTTAAAAAAAGAAAGCCCCAAAGCCCTCTCTTTCTAAATAAGATTCAAGCTATAGAAAATTGCACTATCTGCCTAGATTGTCCCATGTGTTGATAAGTCCTCTCTACTTTGCATGGGTCTCTGGGCTTGTCTTCGTTAGGGTTTCTACTGCTACAACAAAACACCAAAAAGCCAGTGGGGAACAAAGGGTTTAGTTGGCTTATTCTTCCATATTGCTGTTTATTATCAAAGGAAGTCAGGACAGGAACTCAAACAGGCCAGGAACCTGGAGGCAGGAGCTGATGCAGAGGCCTTGGAGGGGTGCTGTGTACTGGCTTGCTCAGCCTGCTTAAAAAACCCCTGGTCCAGGGATAGCACCACCCACAACACAATGTTCTGGACCCTCCCCCAGTAATCACTAACTAAGAAAATGCCTTACAGCAAGATCTTATGGAGACATTTTCTCAAGTGAGCCTCACTCCTTTCAGATGACCCTAGTTTGTATGGTAAGTTGACATATGACCAGCCAGCACAGGGCTCCAAGGCCTGTTCTACTGACAAGAGAGAGCCATCTACATGAAGAGGAGGCAAGTAACAGAAGGGAGAAACTTAAATATATCTTGGTGAAATATATATGTTTTAGGGGTATCTCATTTGCCCCCAAATGAGAGAAAAAAAAAAAGGAATAAAAAGGAAAGGACATAGCTGCTCCTAGGTGTGGTGGGGAGAAAGTTTATTGTAGATCTGTGGGAGAGCGTAGTCAGAGGCAGGGACATCTGGGAGAGTCCAGTGTGGATATGACCAGGCTGAGCTGTACCATGCCATGGGGTGGGAAGACAGGTCATGACACCAGGTGCAGCAGTCAGGAGGCAAAGGTACAAAAGGGACAGGTAACCGAAATGTCTGGATTATATGAAAAAAGAGCCTCTGGGGGAAAGGGGAGTCCAGCCCAGGAGCTAAAGAGTTCAGGGTTGAGGGCCATATCCTATATCAGGTAGGGACTGAGGGATGCTGGGAGAACCTGGCCGCTAGGTCGGCTCTGACATGTTAAATAGGCACCTCAGCTGTTTGTGGGGTTTGAGAGTTGACAACCTGCTCCAGCCTTTTCTCTTGCTCTACCCTGCTGAGTGTCAGTTACATCCCTTGTGAGTTCCTTGGGGCTCCTGGGATGGAATGAGTAGAATTTAGAGGAAGAAGTTTTCTGGGCTGGGTCTTACCTTTGGTGTGCTCAGTGGGAATACCTGTGCCTTTTTTTTTTTTTTTAATCTGAGACTCGGGGCCTGCTTAGGCTCCTGGGGTTCCCTTGCCTCATGCTTCCTTCTCTCTCTAAAATTCAGGCGATCTCCCAAAGGCTGTGGTGAAACTTGAGCCCCCATGGATCCAGGTGCTGAGGGAAGACAGTGTGACACTGAAGTGTGAAGGGACCCACACACCTGGGAACTCTTCCACCCAGTGGCTCCACAATGGGAGATCCATCTGGAGCCAGATCCAGCCCAACTACACGTTTAAAGCCTCAAGCAATGACAGTGGAGAATATCAGTGTCAAATGGGGCAGACCAGCCTCAGCGACCCTGTACAACTGGGAGTGATTTCCGGTTAGTAGACACGGGCCCAGGGAAGAGTTGGGATACCAGGAAGTTGAGGGGTGGGGTGGGGTGCAGGAAAAAGGGCCGCCTGGTTTCTGGGAAGTATCTCTGTGAGTTCCTTGAAGGGCTTTTGTCCACTCATTTCCCTTTCCACCCGCCCTTGTGCTTAGTGAGCATGTGGAAGGCACTCGGATTCCTGAGAAATTCCTCAGCTTGTGTGAAGAGTTGTTTTCTGTGGTAGCCCTGATTGAGCAAGAGAAGGTCAAGGACAAAGACAAACAGCTGAATGTGACAGAAAAAGGAAGTCCCTATTTCATAGAAACCCTTCTGTTACTTGACACTCAGAAGAATGCTGATAGCCCACAACTGAATCCAAGCTGTGGGAAGGACCATATAAAAATATGGTTAATTAATTAATTTAACCTTGAGTTCAGCTTTCACATCTGCTCAACTGAGGGTGCCAATGTCTCTTTCTGGAGGTTCTGGGGAGCATGGGCAGTTTCCTGATCTCTTGCCTTCACACTCCTGGGTGTCCTTTCCTTTCCTTCCACTAGCTTGTGGGCACTTGAGGTGAAAAGCTGTGTTTCATTCTTTTCCATATTTGCAGTGCCCAGAACAGGGCGGGGCTTATTAATTCTTTGCTGAGAAGATCAGCAGTTTTCCAAGGCTCCTGGCAAAAAGTTTTCCCCACGGACAACCACTACGAGGCAGCATTGACGGCTACTGTCGCTGTCGTTCCTTCCTATCACCAGTTCTCCCTCAAAAGTATGCACACAGCAAGCTAGTGATTTGCCTCTGGCCCTGCTGGACTGTAGTTCCACACCTGCTACTATTCATCCAGGAAACCAACATTTTTGGAGGTTCAAAAAGTTCTACTGTCCCCCAAACAGAAGGTTCTGTTGTGTCCTCTTCACATCCATCAGGCTGGATTTCTCTTTCCTGCCGGGAAGGGCTTGGATCTCCATGTCTTGTTACTACTTCCTGACAGGACTGGGTGGCAGCTGCCTTCTCTCAAAAGAGGAAGGAGAATACTTTGCACCAAGAGCCATTGTAGCTGCAAGATCTGATCATGCCCATTTCACAGATGGGCAAATTGAGGCCCAGAAGAGTTTAATTACTTGCCCAAGACTGAAGAGCTTGTAAATGAGTGGAATTAGGATCAGAGATCAAGATTGTCTGATGACAAACTAAAGCTCTCTCCCCTTAGCATATCATATCTCACCAGGAAGGATGGCCTGGGTCTCAGAGCTGAGCCAAGACTCTCTGAGTCCTATAGTCTTTTTGTGTCTTTCAGACTGGCTGCTGCTCCAGACCCCTCAACTGGTGTTTGAGGAAGGGGAGACCATCAAGCTGAGGTGCCACAGCTGGAAGAACATAGCCATGAGCAAGGTCGTATTCTACCAGAATGGAAAATCTGTAAAATATCAACATTCCGTTGGCAGCTTCTCCATCTCCAAAGCAAATCACAGCCACAGTGGTGAATATTACTGCACAGCGCGTCTAGGAAAGTCACACTACACATCAAAGCCTGTGACCATCACTGTCCAAGGTATGGGGACCCTGTCAAGATGTTGGAAGGGAGAAGAGGAGATAGACAAAGGCTAAAGTTGTATAGCCCCACATGGAGATCTAGGAATGCCACAGCAGCAAAATAGGCGCGGAGGCAAAGAGGAGAGCTGTGAAGGCCTTGCGGAGTGATGGCAGGTGGGCTCAGCCCAGAGCTCCTCACTTGCAGGTCTTAGGTGACAGGGCGATTGGGCAGCAGTAAAACAGAGCCTTGTCGTTGGTGCATAGGTTCTCTAAGTTCCTAGGCATTCCTTAAGAGCCGAAGTTTAGCTTCTCCTTGTATCTCATATAATGGTCATTCACTCTTGAAGGCCTGGCATGTTCTAGACAGTGGTGGTACCAGCAACCTCTGGGAGGCTTCAGATCCATCCTTCCAATGGCATCTGAGGGCTGTCCCTTCTGCTACTACATCTTCACCACTGTGCCTTCATTAGTTTGGTGGAAACACTTGGTTATTGAGGAGACACAAGTCTGTCTACAGAAACCTATGCAGACGAGGTTTCAGGGTGATGTATTACACCTGTGAGTGACCCAGACACAGAAAATCTAGGTGACAAACACTGGGCATAGCATTAGATGAAGGGTGGATACACAGAGCGAACTTACTACCTGTTATCATATCTGTATTTCCAGAACCCAGATCCAGCAGGTCTTTACCGGTATTGACAATTGTGGCTGCTGTCACCGGAATTGCTGTAGCTGTCATTGTTATTATTCTAGTATCTTTGATCTATCTCAAGCGAAAACAGGCTCCAGGTGGGTGGTTCTCTTTGGAAACCTCTTATTATCGGTTCCGACTTAGCTGGGGCTAGAGGTTAGAGACTTATCTGCTTTTGATGTAGTGTCCTCATATTCATTCATCTGCTTCCAAATTCATCGGTTAAACAAGACTTGAACAAACTTGGTGATATGTCACACCCTGTGCTGGACACTGCCTGTGTTTGGTTCCATTTCTTACCTCGGCTAGTTCTCAGCATTGTGAGGAAGACAGAGGTACAAGTGGATACTTACAAGAAGGGGTTAGAACAATGAAATAATAGAAATATGATTATCAGCTGGAGGTCGTAGCACATTCCTGTAATCCCAGGATGGTAAAACAGAAGGAACAAAAGTCTGAAGCAGGGCCAGTGAGATGGCCCCATCAATACAGGTGTTTGCAGTACAAGCCCTGTGATCTTAGTCCAGTCTCTGGTACCCAAGTCAAGGTGGGAAGAGAGAACGGATCCCACAAAGGTGTCCTCTGACCTTCATAGATATGCTACAGTGTACACCCCCCCACACTCACACAGTAATAAATAAAGATTTTTTTCAAAGGGTCTGAAGACAGCCTGGGCTGAAGAATGAATTTGAAGTCAGTCTGTGATACACACAACAAGACCTTGTCTAAATTTTTAAAAAGGGAAGATTCCATAACCCCATGTGTTTATCAGCTTTCTGTCACTATAACAAAGTACTTCAGATAATCAATCCACTTACTAAGAGAAAAAGTTGCTAGGCACAGTAGTAAAATGCATGTCAGCATTAGGAGGCCAAGGAGGATCACAAGTTCAAGATCCCATCTTAAAATATATAAGTAAAGAGGGAAACAAACAAAGAGGTTTATTTTAGCATAGTTTTGTAGGACTTAGTCCATACTTTCTTGGCCCTCTTGCTTTGGGCCCGTGACAAGCTAGAATGTCATAGAGGAAGTGCACAGCAGGACAAAACTGCTCACCTAATGGCCTCTAAGCAAAGAGATCAAGGAGGAGCATAGGGAATCTCACAGTCTTCTTCAAGAGCATGTCCCTGGTGACATAAAGACATCCCACTCAGTCCACACCTTTAAAGTTTCAGCTTCCTCCCAGTTACTCCACTGGTGACCAAGCATTTAACACATGAGATTTTCATGTATATTTCAGATCCAAACTGTGGCAGGCAGTCTGGCTGGGGCAGTTGAGAAGGTTTCACGGGGGAGCCCGGGTGGTGTGGTAGTTGAAATACATACAGTGAAACCAGATTGCTATGGTTCAAATCTCCACTCACAGCTCAGCAGATGGATAAAGTTGAGTAAATTATTCAACCTCTGTGCCTCAGTTTACTAGTCTGAAAAATGAAGAACACTGTGGGACCCACCTTACAGGAGTGCCACGACAATGAGTGTGGCTGAAGCCTTTGTACCAGTGCCTAACAGACAGTAGAGAGCACATAAGTTGTTAACCACTGTGGAGAAGGGTGATGTCTGGGGGCAGCCATTAGTTAGGCAAAGTGGAAGAGCATTCTAAGAACTATGGCCAAGCCATGGAAATGAGGAATGTTGTGGGTCCATCAGCAGAAGAGAAAACGCTGCTACTGACTAACACCTAATACCTCCCACCACACTTTACAGTTGGTTCCTAGGAATTCATCTTCAGGGATAGGTAAATATTGAGAGATTCGGAGAAGATTACATCTTTTTGTTTGTGAGACAGGACCTCATTTTGTAGTCCTAGCTGCTCTGGAACCCACTATATAGACCAGGCTGGCTGGCCTCAACCTCACAGAGATCTGATTGCCTCTGTCTCCTGAGTGCTGGGATTAAAGGTGTGCTCCATTACACCCAACCAAAAGATGATACTTCTAGAGGGCCAGGCAAGCCTAAGAAAGATGCAGTGGAGTGGTTTTTGTGACATCTGTTGGAGTCCTCTTGGGTTAGTCACTATAGGCTGGAAAGGTTCCTAGGCAGGGGAGCTGGGAAGCTGGGAAGAGACTGGTGACAGTGAGAGGGAAAGGTCTCTGTTGCTTTTAACTCAGTTCTGACCCTGGTCCTTGATCCTGAGGTCTCAACCCTCATCCCATAATCCTACTAACTTCCTACATGCCCCCTCCTAGCTCTCCCAGGAAACCCTGATCACAGGGAAAAGGGAGATACCCTTCCCAAGGAACTAGGTGAGTACAGCGTTCCCTCCGGGGACTCAGTGCCGGTCAGCCCAGGGCCCCCATGTGGACTGGAGCCAGCAAGCAGCAGCTCTTGTGAGTTCAGTGGGAGTTGCAGGAGAGGGAGGGGCAGTGGGAGGGCGGCTGGGACTCAAATCTCTTGGTCAGTTCTGAGTCTGGCTCCTAGACCTAAGGCGGATCTCACTAGAGATGAGAAAAGGAACACCAGAGAGAGAAAGGACGGACTGTGACTAAACTTCTAGACGAACAAGGAAATCTGGAGATACTTCTAGAGCAAGACTTCAGAGGCTTTGGATCTTTCTGGGGAGATGTGGCAAATCTGGCAAACAGGCTTAACAGTTGTATGACGGAGGCCAATAAGATTAAGAAGGAGGCCCCTAAGAGGACAGGGGGAGGTCTGGGGTGACCCTGGAGGTTTTTTCAGAAGTGTGTCTCTGTGGAGGAGTAGAGGAAGGCATGGCACAGCTCAACTTTTACTAGCATATTGAGAGGAGATTTGAGTTGAACAAATTCCAGGGCACTAGAACTATCCATAGGCTATGCTCTGTGCGCACACTTACTATTCATAGGCTGTGCTTGTGGGCACACTTACTATTCATAGGCTGTGCTTGTGGGCACACTTACTATTCATAGGCTGTGCTTGTGGGCACACTTACTATTCATAGGCTGTGCTTGTGGGCACACCTTGGCTCTAGTGCCCACTCATTTTGGTTTATCAAACACTGGCCTGACCCTTTCACTATTATACAGCTGAATCCTCAGTAGATCGCTCCCCATGAGGTTGAAGTCACTCCAGTGAAGAAGTGAGTGGGTGGGTGGGTGAGTGAGTGGTTTAGATGACCTCTGAACCCTTCTTGGTCTGAGAAGTGAAAGCCAGTGACTTTTCAGCCCTGGTGCAGGAGAAAGAGGTGGGAGTATTATGGGCTTCTGCTTGGCTGTAGTTAAAGACAGAGCATAAAGGCAAGTGGAGTTTTCTCTAGGGGCTTCCATGGCAGCAGACATAGGCAAGAGGAAGACTTCCTTGGAGATTCCACTTTAGGGGACTGGAGTATGACTCAGAGCAGAGCCAACGGATATGAGAGCTTGAGCAAAATAGCATTCACTTGGCTTCGCTTTGAGCAAGGCCCGTGTTCTTCAGCTTGGCTATGTGGATCCACATCTAGGATCAAACTAGGTCTACAAAAAACAAAACAAAATAAAAACCAAACCAAACTAAAACAAAACAAAAATGTCTAAGCATAACTGGATTTACCTAGTCTGGCTTTGTCTACTCTGGTATAAGCACATTTCACATGGCATTTATGCAGTCTGGCACCAGAGCTTGTGGTTTCTGCTAAAGGCATCGTTAGCTGCTGCAGTTGCTAAGAAGTGTATTAAAAGGGGGAATTCTGAATGTGTTGTGGGGGCAGAATTTGGAACATGGCAAACAGGGCTCTTTGTGTCCAGGGACTGAGTGAAGAGACTGGAGGCATTGTCTTGGCCTTTTCCCCCACTTCCCAAAATTCTGGTTTACAGACACTGGGGCTGCTTTTCATACTGGCAAAGGGAACTTAGGGCAAAGCCATAAGAGAATGTGGTGCTTGGGCTATTTATCAGAGAAATATTGTCTTTTCTTTTCTCTTTCTCTTTTCCATCTCCCCTCTCTCCTCTCCTCCCTTTCTCCCTTTCTCCCCTTTCTTTCTTCTCCTCTATCTTTTTTTCTTTTTAATGTTAGAATACCTGGTTCTTCAATGCTTCAACAAGAATAAACTGTACTTGTCCAATACAGAAACGGCCATTTGTTTCTCTCCCTACAGTCTGTGGCAGACACATAATCTGGACTTGATTTTCACTCTGTTCTAAACATTTCCCCATTCTCCAACCTCCCAGAGTCCCAAAGCTGTTTGGTTTGCTGCTGGGAAAGTTCAAAGATTGTCTGAAAAGAAGGTGGCACAAATTTGTTTCCCTTTGCCAGCATGGCCAGTGGGGAAGGCTGGATTCCAAGATAGCCAGGGACGCAGGCTATACTGCCGCACTGCATGGCCTGAAGGCCTGGGTTGGGGTTGGCAAGCCTTGCCTTGACTCTGCTTTAAGCTTTGGTTTTGAAGCCTCAATAATAGCGCATCAGGCCCTTTTTTTCCAGCAATGCCCAAGTTAATTATTTGTTTTTGTCCACAGACAACCCTCCTGATCTTGAAGAAGCTGCCAAAACCGAGGTGAGAGCCCAGTTGGGTCCTTTCCCCTCTCCCTGCTCCTCTGCTTTCCCCATGACCTATGTGCAGCGCTCGGGACTCATTTCTGCTTTCTCTAGGTTGAGAATACAATCACCTATTCGCTTCTCAAGCATCCTGAAGCTCCAGATGAAGATGCAGAGCCTGATTACCAGAACCGCATTTAATCTCCCTTGTCTAGACTTGGGATTGGGAAAAGCAAACAGGAAGGCCAGGATCTATGGTCTCCTGGTCAAGGGGATGGTGCAGATATTAAGGAGGCCGTGCACAGTCACCTATATGCGTCCCCAAACCAACAGACACTACGGTACTGGTCCCCAGTGGTTGACTGGACTAATAACTTGTATGACTTACCGCTTCCCAACTCAAGACTCTTCTGCTATAGATTCACACAGCCAATAAAATTAATCAACTTACTGTCATTAACAGATTGCAGCAACATGGGAACAACTTATGCTACAGGCTACATGAGAACAATTATGTTAGGATACATGATCTCAGAGATGATAAAATGGACTTGTACCAACATGTTAAAAGTCATGCTTCAGGGTGATGGAATTATAAGGGATTTTAATCTTCTTCCTTCTTTTTCTATAAAGGTCACCTATTACTTTTATAGTAAAATGTTGTAAAAATAACATTGTATTTACTTTTTCAAGGCTGAGGTGATTGGAGTGTAGACTGAGCTCTCTTAAGTTTGATGCTCTTCTGTGAGAAGAATCTTGGGGAGATGCGCTAGTTTTTCCTGGGGAGACAAGCATCTCAGGCAGGGCACTCATGACAAATAATGGTTATACCTAAGTCTAGTTTGGTGAGTTTATTGGGCTTATTTATGGGAACATGGGTGAGGGGTTCCTTACAGAGGTATGGGTACTTCCTTGCAGGGGTGTGAATGTCTTTAAAACAGCAGTCTTAGCACAGATGACAACTTCTTTATAGTTGCATAGCTGGTGCCTCGACCCCCTTCAGTTAGTCGATCTTCCTCAAACTGTCAATCCTTCTGCCTCTGCCTTCAGAGCTCCACAATGACAAGAACGCACTATCCACCACACCTGGCCTGGTAGTAATGGATAGGAGGGAGGGGACGATAGACGGTGATTTGGAGGAGTAGAGGACCAGGGCTTCTCTGCTTCAACCTGACAGCTCTTCCAGGGATCGAGTCTTCCTGTTTCCTCCCCTTCTTCTCTTTTCTCCCGTGACAAGCAGAATGATCATTCCGTTTTGTAGCATGAGTTCTCAGGAAGCCAATCTTCAGGTGAATGCCCATGGGAACCAGAGGATGACCTTGAACTCCTGATTCTCCTGCTTCCACCTCCTAACTGCTGGGATGATAGGCATGTGCCACCACACAAAGCTGGCATATATGTATTTTTTTAATTGATCACATTATATATTTTTATATGTTCACAAAATCACTCAGGTAGAAATTTAAGCTTGCTGTAACCACGTAAGTTCAGAGTACAGAGGTATAAGGCAGAAGTTCTCTGTTGTCCTCATTCCCCTTAAATTTGTTCTTTCTCTCTCTCGCTCTTGAATAACCACTGTTGTAGGTTTGGTGTACATTTGGATTTTTGTATGGATATTTAACATAGTTTTTGGAAAGCCTATGTATGGCACCATACTTTACACATGATTATATTGTTCACTGCTTTGTTCAACAAGATGACTGGTGATTGCTAGATGTTGGCCTGGCTCAAGTTTCATCGAGAGTCGCTGTCTCAAAGGACTAAGAGAGAAAGAGAAGAACACCCCATGTTTTCCTTTGACATCTGCACACCCGTTTATAGGCACATTTCCCATGTGTGTGCATCCAACAGACACACAAATAAAATAGACAATAACCCTCTCTCCAGAATTTCCGCTTTGAAATTCCTGATAACCAAGACACGTTGCATGGATCTTAGTGGTTCAGTCCAAATACATGAACAAACAAGGTTGTTTGACACCAGGGAGAATGCATCTACAAGTCTTGTATTCCTAATGTATACCCTTAAGTAAAAGCCTTACATGCCCCTTGAATCTAGTGAGTTCTTTCTCATATCCTCTTTAGCAAGGCCTCTCCTGACCACTGATATTACTTCATTCTTATTTTCTCCGTGTTACAGTGTGGGTAATTATGTATCTTCTTGTTTATATATTCTCATGTAAACTAAAATGTAAGCTCAATACAGTCCTCTTTTCACTAATTATTCACTAATGCATTCCAGAGACCAGAACAATGCAATATATTGTTGAATGAATTAATAAATAAAACTCTCCTTTCATAGTTTCTGGGCTATTTGATATTCATTCATGCTGGTTAATTGTTCTACCACTGAACTATGTGGCCCAGGTGTTATTTGATGTTCTTAATACTATGGCTTAGATTTGTTCCCCTGAGACCATGTATTGGAAACATGAGCACCCATGCAACAGAGTTGGGAGGAGTTATCTGACCAGAGGTGACTAGCTCATGGGCTATGGATTAGTTCTGTGGATTCCTTATAAAAGGGTGAATTTGGTACCTTTTGGCTTTGTCTTTCTTCCCTTCCTCCCCCACTTTCTTCCTTCTTAGCCCATAGAATGATACATCAAGAATTCTGAGCCGGGCGTTGGTGGCACACACCTTTAATCCCAGCACTTGGGAGGCAGAGGCAGGCGGATCTCTGTAAGTTCGAGGCCAGCCTGGTCTCCAGAGCAAATGCCCAGATAGGCTCCAAAGCTACACAGAGAAACCCTGTCTTGAAAAACCAAAATAAAAAAGAAGAATTCTGGTCCCCCAGTCTTGAACTTCTCAACCTCCAGAACCTCCTGCTAATAAAGAATTACCCAAGTCTGTGGGATTTTGTTATAGCAACTTGAAGGCTTTCTGAATCTCAAGAGTTCAATAAAAGCCTACTTGTTATCTTTCCTTGAAACCTTACTAAATTTACTTAAAATTCTTAAACACTTTAGAAAGGATCTGAATTTATTTATTTATTTTTTACCCCCATCCTACCGAAAGGACCCAAATTTAAGTACACTTGGAAAATCTTTTTGAATTTGGTGTAAGGTAAGAACCTAACTTAATTTTTCCCTGTGTTGAGGTCAATTATTCGTGTTTCATCCCTTGAAAGAAAATGATTGGAAATGCTATTAGTTCATTATCAACTCCCACACACAGATCGACATCAGTCTCTTGTCTGTTGCCTTATTCTAGTTGTTTTTTCCTGCCTCAACAGCACACACTCATTTATTGTAGCTTTATAGCATATTTTCATATGTAGAAAGTCCAGTTTTCTCTAATTCCTTTGTTTCAAGATTTTCTTGATCATTATTGTGCTCTTCCAGGTGGACTTTAGAATTCCACACACCACAGGGCACTGGGAGAATTACATTGTCTATATAGATTACTTGGGTAAGGTTTGACATCTGTGAATGACAGCTTTTGTTTGTTTAGATTGTAGACTTCTACAACATATGGCCTTTGTTTGTTTGTTTGTTTTTGCACCAGAGTTTAGATAACCTTTCCCCCTCCGTATCACTATTATTCTCATTAGAATTTTCTAGACTTAATAAAACCAGTTTTGAAAGTGTGTGGTTTTTTTCCTGGAAAATCATACATTTTATTAATTTATGTACAGCAAAATGCTTCTCTTTTCCCTCTCTTTCTCTCTCACTCCCTCTCCCCCCCCCCTTTCTTTCTTTCTTTGTCGGGGTCTCATGGAGTCCAGGCTGACCTCGGAATCCCTGTATATAGCTGAGGATGGCCTTGGTCCTCCTGCCTCCACTTCCAAAATGCTGGAATTTCCCAATGTGTGTGGTCCTGAGGGTCACACTGAAGGCTTCCTGCATGCACTCTAGTAATCAATCTGCCTTCCACCAACCCAAATTCAGCATTTTCTTCTTTGTTGATTTCTGGGTTTATACTTATATATGGACTCCTCCCCTATTCTTAGCTTTGGGCTGTCTTTTATCAGGGTGACTTTAGTCAGGAATAACAGGAAGTCATGACTCAAATCGGCTTAAACAATAAGGAAATTATTATCTTCCATAACAAAAAGTTCAGAGACAGAGTGTCTCCTTGCATCAGGATTCTTAATACTTTCTTTCTGCAATCCTCTGGGTACTGCCCTTCGGCTGGCAAGAAGACATAGCGATTCTGAATGTCATATTCTGCTATCTGGAAGGAAGGGACTAATTGCCTTTTTGATGTGTCCCTTGAGAGCAAGGAAAATACTCTCAGAGGCCCTTGGCAATGCTCTTGTCATAGTGTATTAATCAGGACAGACCATACCTACAGCATGGATTACGAAGGAGGCTGAGATGACCATAGTATACCTAGCTCAACCCTCTCAAGTAGAATGGCTGTTGAGACTGAAACCCTTGGTCACTATGTCTTTGTCTACCCTACCAAGCCTCCCTAAAGTTTGCCTGTTTGGTTTTTTTGTTTTGTTTTGTTTTGTTTTTTGTTTTTTGTTTTTGGTTTTTGGTTTTTGGGTTTTTGAGACAGGGTTTCTCTGTGGCTTTGGAGGCTGTCCTGGAACTAGCTCTTGTAGACCAGGCTGGTCTCGAACTCACAGAGATCCACCTGCCTCTGCCCCCAGAGTGCTGGGATTAAAGGCGTGTGCCACCAATGCCCTGCTAAGTTTGCCTGTTTGTTTTGTTTGTTTGTTTGTCTTGTAATAGCTTTGACTTATTAATCAAGTATTTTGAGCTCTGCTTGCTTTCAAGCATGACATTTTCTACTTTATTTAGACTTATATATTAGATTACTTATTTCTGAATTTCTTGTTTTCAAACATATGGATAAAAAATGGTAGCTTTTCCTCTACTGCTGTTTTGGCCATAAGCATTTGACTTCCATATGCCTGTCTGTTCTTCCAAAAACAATTTATGATTTTAGCTTTATTTTCTTTTTTTAAGATTTATTTTTATTTATTTATTTATTTATTTATTTATTTATTTGTGTGTGTATTTAATATTTTTGTCAACTAGACACAAGCCAGGGTCATCTGAGAAGAGGGAACTGAGAAAATTCTTCCATCAGTTGTCTGTAGGCAGTTTCTTGATTAATGATTGTTATGGGAAGGCCCGGCACACTGTGGGCAGTGCCACCCCTTGGTGTACTGGTCCTGGACTGTATAAGGGAAGCGGGCTGAGCAAGGTCTAGGGAGCAAGCAGTAAACAGCATTCCTTCATGCTCTCTGCTTCAGTTCCTGCCCTGACTTTTCTTCATGTAAGTTGTAATAAATCCTTTCCTTCCCGAATTGCTTTTAGTCACGGCATTTTATCACAGCAATAGAAAGAAAACCAAGACTCTGTGTGTGTGTTTAAAGCTGGAGTTACAGGAGGTTGTGAGTTGCCATGAACTCAGGTCCTATGACAGAGCAGCACGTGTTCATAAAAGCTTAACCATCTCTCCAGCCCCTTCACTCCCTTCCTTTTCTTTTCTTTTTTAAGATTTTATTTATTTATTATATATACAACATTCTGATTCCATGTATATCTGCACACCAGAAGAGGGCACCAGATCTTCTTACAGATGGTTGTGAGCCACCATGTGCTTGCTGGGAATTGAACTCAGGACCTCTGGAAGAGCAGCCGGTGCTCTGAACCATCTCTCCAGCTCCTTGACTCCCTTCTTAACCAAAGGTTTGTTTAGAAGCATTTGTTGTGTTTATGTTGAGCACCAGCTTTTTTATTGCCTACTTTTATTGCACAATGTCTGATTTTCTGCATGAATATCTGTAAGTACACATGTGAAGACAGTGCTCTCATTTGAAAAAGAAATGATGTTTTGCAATGCTCCCACTTAATTTGAGTTGCATCATAGGGCAGGCATATCACAAGACAGTCTTGACTTCCCTCTTTCCCCATATCCCCTCAGTCCTGACCCCATGTGGAACCATCTTCAACTCTTTTAACTGTGTCTTCTGAGAATTTGCTTCCACATTTCCAAACAATACACTGTGTTGCTATTCCTTGTTTGTGTTTTCAGTATTAATCTCATCCATGATTTCTTGTCCTGTTGGGCTTAACTGGCTTCCTGCTTCCCCATCAAATGCTCTCATACAGCCTTGTCGAAATTTGATGATCACTGTTTATCCCAGAGACATTTGTCTGATTACATTTCCTTTCTTGAACAACCTTCTTCTCTTTCAGAGACAGTCAAGGCTTCATTTTTGTCCTTTTCTTAGTTGAATATAGATGTCTGCGCTACTGTGACTGGCCTTTATGAAGGTTCTGGGGATCTGAACTCAAGGCATCGGGCTCTTTTTTTTTTTTTTTTTTTTCATTTTTCTCAAAGTTTATTCAACAGTTTCGAGGTCACTGAGGCAGCTGACCACGTCCACGACCAAAGCCTCCTCTAAATTGGAATTCTGTGGCTGGGCCAGCTCCTGCCTCAGCTTTCTTGTCGGCACCAGGGGGCATAGCAGCCCTCCGGTAGGTGTCTCTGTCTGCCTCCCCTCTTGTGAATCTTGCAGGTCGCTCACTTTCTGGACCTTTGGGCCGAGGCCTGCCAGTTTCAGGACGGCTACTGCGGTGCAGGGTGGCAGGCACGATCTCCGGAGGTAAGTGGAGGCAATCTCGTAGATACTGGATGCCCTCGTTGGTGAGATACCAATAAAAATGCCTCCATGCAAATTGCTCCTTCACATAGCCTTGCGACTTCAGAGTCTGCATGGCCTTCATGACATGAAGGTTGGGCAGTTCTTGTCTGCCAGCTCGGGGTGTTTGGGCATGTGATCATCCTTCTTGGCCACCATCACTCTCTCCTTAAACAGGAGTCCATACATGGTGATCCGGTTCTTTTTGGGCATCAACATCGCAGCCGCTCAAGGCATCAGGCCCTTACAGCAAGATCACTGAGCCATCTCCCCAGCCCCAGAAATGATTCGTATGTTGAGTTTGTTTTTTTTTTTCAACCCTAATATGGTATAATATCTAGATAAAATAGTTTGTCAGCAGTAAGAAAAGTAATGAAGACACTGAACTAGTCATAAAATTACAAGCTTTATCTTTAAAGATTCGAGCATCAAAGCTAGGTGTGACATACTTGTAACTTCAGCAAGTAGGTGGTTCAAGTAGGTCATTCTTGGCTACCTAGGAAGCCTGGGCTACACAAGGTCTTGAAAAAAAACAAACAAAACATTTGAAATGCAAATTTCCTCACCAATACAAAAGGAGTCACAGAGAGAGATGTCTGACTTCCTTTTAATTAACATGGGGGAACATTATCCTTTTGATGTTTAAGAATATGATTTGGAAGAGAGGCACTCACTCTCTTCCC